ATACTATAATAATGTAACTATATCACCTTCAGTTGTTAAAATGTTGTTTATTTGTTTAACTTGAAAATAAAAACTTCTCATCATATCTGTTTCTAAACGCCTTGAAATTGGCTTCTGTCTCTTTAAGAACCTCCTTCCACTTCTGTCCCGTCCTTTTCAGCACAGGGCCGTGTGTGTGTGTGTGTGTGTGTGTGTGTGCTCTGTGGTGAGGAAGCTCAGTTTGGAGACAGCTCAGAGGAGGAGCTGGTCCTAAAAGGAGGTTCTAGTCCTAACTGGTGGTTTTTGCTCCCCTGCCTGGCTGCCTCAGGACACTACAGGATTTCTCAAACCTGCATGAATGAGTCAAAGTAAAACTCTGGGTATGTTTTTGATAAGAGGATAACATTATAACATGTAAAACAAAAAAAATGGATTTTACATGATATTGCCCCTTTAAATCATCCAAACTTTGGGTTTAATTTACTAATTTTGGGGATTTTTTTCCTTTGAGTTCAGATTTATCAGTGAATAACTATGTTATGAGCAAAATGTTTGTTGTTTTGTTTGTTACTCTCTAGCCTGGCCCTGGCCTTCCTACTCAGTTCTGCTCAATTCTAGTTTCCTTCTCTGCTCCGTCTGGCAGTTCTCCCATAGACGAGGATTTCTACAGGAGAATTTTCATCTGAGACAATCAGAGAACAGAAGGCAGAGTTTTGAACAATGTTGATTTTCTGCGCAGTGTCTGCTAGTTAGTTTAGCAATGGCAGTGGAGGAAGTGAATGAAGCCAGTCCGTGTAAATCTGTCTGACAAAGCAGCAGCTCTCATTTACAGTCATCTGGTTCAGCTCGGTACTTTTCTCCTCTCAGTAGGGTTGTTTACAGCGCACACGATTTCCGGTTAGCTTCTTAGCTTAGCCTCCTCTACGGTGGAGCTGGCTACAAACGTCACAGCCAACCGATCCAATCATTTTAAACTTCAGCAGAGGCCACGCCTCCTGCAAGAATCACTTCTCTATAGCCGAGAGTCCAGACCCTCGTACGAAGCAAAGTGAAGGACTGGTTTTAACCAGGCTAGTTACTCTCCCCATTTACTGTTCATTTAACTGAAGGCCGTCTGAATAATTGTCATTCTTTCAAATCTTACATGATATGTTTGTGAAAAGAAGTGATATTTTTAAAACCACAAAGTGTGGATTACATGGTGGTGATGCGTGGTGTAGTGCTGGCGGGGAAAAAAAGATGAACAAAAATGAACAGAAAACCATGAATTTCAAAACCCTGTAACACAGAGGATGTTCAAAACAAAATAACAAAAAAATAAAATAAACTTCATTAGTGTATTAATCTGAGATATAGTATGGCCTTGTTGATCCAGCACATTTGTCTTTTTGTCTAAGTTTTTCTGACAGTCTGTTCACTTACTGCACTGTGGGCCTTTAGTCCAAGTTCCAGAAGAACAAGTGATGGACTTCTCCATGTTTGAGTCAGATGAGCTGTATCCATCTTCACATTCATAGTGAAGTTGAAATTTGTCAGGATACACCTCCTGGGGGCTCTGATTAATGATGACTGCATGAGGGATTTTTGGAGGTTCATTGCATGAAGCTCTGCTTTCTGTAAAAACAAAACAAACATAAATCTCTTTAAGCTAAAGAGAGAAATGACGATTGACAACACTGAAGTTTAGATGTAAACATTTGAACCAGATCATTGGACATACTTACTCTTACAGAGAACTACAGGAGACCACCTGCTGTTTGAGCAGAATATAAGTGAGTTGCGGCGTGCCAGTTCATATCCATCTTTACAAGTTACAGTTATCTGATCCATTTCTTCATACCAAACTTTTTGACCTTCAATGGATTTGCTATTTGAGATAGTTGGGGGGAGGCAGGCCTTTTCATCTGAAAAAAATTGAAATATTCACGTTGTCACAAGGACAAACTTTTAGTTTTTTTTTATTTTATTTTATTTTATTTTTTTTTTTCAGAAAATAAGGTTTCTCCCTTTTGGGTTGTGTGGAATACTCATGAGCGGTCAAAGTCTCACCTGCATTAGAAAACAGAGCAACTACAATTTGAAGGATCAGGAAAATAATGTTGCTGGTTTTTTCCCCAAGATAACAGAACCTAAAAAATACTCTTACATAATTTAATACCACCTCAAACTAAAAGCTTTTCCAGTAGCTCAAGCAAAGACAATACTTATTTTTTTACTCTCATCATTTCCCTCCTAAAGCATTCACATTAGTACTTAACTGCATTCACAAAATGAAAATATGTCAACACAAACGCTAACCATTTTATTTATTTATTTATTTGTTTGTTTGTTTGTTTGTTTTACCAAAAATGGCAGAACCGAGCTCTTAAAATGGCTTTCTAAACATGGATAAATTCAAAATACACCCTAAAATATTTGAATGTATGTTTTTGAAATATACTTTTATTAAATTTTGAATATAATCCTTAAAAGTATATTCTATAGATAATACATTAAAAATATATTTCTGTAAAATGCAGTCTATTTAAAATATACTTTAGTATATTTTTTTCTGCCTAGGCAGCACCCATAAAACATCTTAGACGAAGTAATGTTTTTGAAATATACTTTTATTAAATTTTGAATATAATCCTAAAAAGTATATTCTATTGATAATACATTAAAAATATATTTCTATAAAATTCAGTCTATTTAATATTTATATATTTTTTTCTCCTGGGGTCAAATGTAAAAATGTTGCAACTGTCCCCAGTATCCACAATACTAACACTAGTAAATACATACATCTGTCCATTTGACAGTTAAAAAAAATATACTATATCCCTTCATTCTGAACAGGAAGTGTTTTTGCTTGATTGCAAAGACTTTTGGATGCAAACAGTTCTAGAAGCTCCTGAAAACAAAGCTGAGGAAATWATTAGAATGAACTAAAAACTTAAAATAAAAAAGCACTAACATTTTAGATAAGCTTAACAGTAGCATAAAAGTTCTCTCTGTTTTATCATCTTTTATTCATTTCAAACAGTCTGTGATTTGTGTAGTATTATTTAAAAAAGAGGGAATAAATAGAAGTCTAATTTTTTTAACACTTGCTTTGTAAGTAAACATATTCAGTTGATTTCTAAAATTTAATGTGCACAAAGCTGTGTTCAGTTTTTATTTATTCTACTTTCTGTTGGATTTTTGTGTGTCTGCTCTTACTCACCGAAACGTTGCACATCAGCATTAAAACAGCGATGTTCTTCAGAATCAGCCTCTTTAAATTGAAGGGTTTCACRACCTGAGAGTGCACGGGCAGCGGCACGTTGGACTGCTTCCGCTGACAYCCGTACACCTGTCCGTTCTCCTCCTGCTCGTTCTCCATGGAAGGACACGAACAGCCGGGGGTCTCAAATGCCTGATTGACGATCCCGCCGAGCTCTGAAGGCGTAGAGGAGGTCACTGAGAACACTTCCGGAGCAGTTGGGACCTCTGGGTCTCCTGTTTCAGTGYCTTCTTGCTGGCGATAAAGGGACTCGATAATGAAGAGGTTCTGGAGGTACTTCTCCAAGATGACCAGCAGGGAGTAGATCAGGTTGGTCCAGCGGTGGGGAGGGTTGCTGCTGGTGCTGAGCACGGACACAACGCTGCACCAAGACATGAACCAGGAGCCCACAGCTGATCCAAAGAGCAACTCCGTGTCCAGCTGTCTTGARGGGTTCTTGGCCGTGTCTAACGGCATGTGGTTTGCTCGATATATGAGTAGACCTAAAGTACTAGCCGCACACATGACCGCCAGCGTGACAATGCCATAAATGTAGAACATAGAAATGGCTGAGTGGCGTAGTTCGAGGGAGCCCTCGACACGCGTGATGTAGACCACCAGTATTCCAATCGTGCTGGCCACAGACAGAAGACCCAGAATGGGGCCTAAGCTCAAACCCTGAGTTTTGGTWACTAGACTCTTCTTGTTTGAGGACAGGTCAATGGTGCGTCCGATGTTCTTCCACATGACAAAAAGTAAGGCAGAGACAAAGATGTGGAACTCGATGTTGAACGGGAAGAGATAACCAAGGCTCTCGGAGAATATGGAGCAGGTGTTTGTAGTGCAGTTGCACTGTGGTTCTGAGACCTCTGCAAAAC